ATATGGAAATAATTCCTTTCCGTAAAATGAAGTTCCCGAAATCCGGGGCTTTTACTGGGGTGGGGTGATGCAATTCCAAACTGGGGTTCAGAGTTTCAGAAAATCACACAACTCTGATTTTGATTCAGGGTGTCTAGTTCTCAAACTCAAAATGCAGTTCCAGAAACTTCGCTCCACTAGTCGCTACTTGCCGTTATTTTTCGAGATTTTACGACGGTTATTTTGTGACGAATCCCGCGTCTATGACTGAAGCTTTTACCATCAGCTGATTCATTTTTTTGAACGATGCCGAATTTGATTTTATGAACTGCATGCAATTCGCATTTTGTTCTTTGTTCTGTTGTCAAGTGGATTTCCGATATAATTGCATACCTATAAATGACTGATTGATTTTTTTACAATATTAGCAAGATTCGATTGCAGACGGTGACTTAGAAGATTTCAGCACAGAGAAAGCGTCCATGTCGACATCAAGATGTATGTAACTTATGCAAAAAAATGGATTCTGATTATTAAGCACAAGGGCACTGAAGTGGAATTTTCCCCAGTAATAGAATTATCAAAATGAAATGGGGTTTAACGTCCTACTGTTCCGCTGTTCTGCTCCGAACTGGGATAATGAAGACGGGCATACTCCATATACAGTGTGCTATGAAGGACATTTTGCCCGGACAGCGGCACTACGCTTACTCTTATATCAAATTCCAACTGTCATGGGATCCTTTACGTGCACGCCAATGTTTACACGGGACCTCGATTGGGACCTCGATTTTTCCTACCACCCGAACGAATACACAGCTGCCCTTGTCAGGCCCTCCGTCCTGCATAACCGACAAGGGGGGAACCACGCCGGGAAATATGGATGAACCTCCTCGGCCAATACAGGGACCCACATGTCTGACCCACATAGCCAACGTGACCCCCGAAAGAATTATCGAAATGCTTGCTAATTGAAACTATCGTACATGTTTTTTTTTTGAACCTGTCTCCAATAATCATGCCCGAATGAACTAGCTTGTTTTGTTGTATATTACTACAATAGTAACAGGTGACAATGTTCTTCGAAGATGAGGGTCGCAACTAACAAAAGGTTGGAAACCACTGGTCTAGACCGGACATTGTTTTACTATCGATAAGCAATAAAATATTTGTCCAAAAATGATTTAAAAGAACCAATCCAAAAGTAAGGTTAAAGTACTTTCTGTTAATTTTCGGGACTAACATATGGTTTAATTTTATTTCAATAATTCGCTTGCGCATAGGGGTCTTTAGCAGTGGGAGGAAACCGGAGGACCCGGAGAAAACCCACGAGGTTGGACAGGCGACCCTACTCCTTGTCACGTACAACCGGGGATTCGAAACCACGCCAGTCGACTCACGCTAACCATTCAGCCATCCACCCCCCCCCCCCCCACCTAGGTTTGGTGTTTTAATCTAAATTACTATATTACATAAAAAAGAAAAAAAAAAGACCTAGAATTATGTATTTTGGTTCAATTTGCTGCTGAACTCAATAGAATAAAATATTATTTCTTTATAACTTTAGGGCGGGACGGGGGGGGGGGGGGGGGGGGGGGGTGACGAATGGTTCGCTGTCTCATAAGGTCTGTCATTGTTTTTCAACAAATTTCAAAAGAAACTATTATGTTCTTATATTTCGCCGATTTTTTGCAGCCTCTGATACATTCAAATTAGTCATGGATTATAAATCTATAATTTATTTGGTATTAACAAAGATCAAAATACATACAGTTAATAAAGAAAAATCTGCTCGGTTAAAGATACATTATGTAAGATTTATATAAGAGGTTCTCGCTATAATAGTTTAAAAATAGATAATGAAAAGTGAATATGTTTAAAACTTCAGTTAAATTATTTCATTCTGAACGGTGTTACGACCGTTTGAATAACAGTGTAGTCTCGATTGTCATTGCTATCGTTATTATATGATAATAACAATATAGTCTCAATTATCCACTTTAATTAAATATTAACTGGCAATATTTCTGAGAATTGTTTATGGGGTTGGCATGTGAATAAATGTCTTTATTAATAATTTATATAACAGTTGGTTCCAAATATTTGGACAGATTTGGCTCTTACATAATGCGCCTGTAACAAAATACTAGTGAGTAAATAATTCTTATTATAGGTGTGCAGCCAAAATTTCTAGCGTGAAGTTCCGCTACATGGTCCTCCCAAAAAAACAAACTATACATTTTTGGAAAGCTTATAACACCAGGAAAACAAATCAAGAGAGTTCCAAGCAAAAAGTTTGCACTAACTCGATTTAGGGCCAGGTGAAAATTGTGATATATGCTATATGTATACTAACAATTGTGAAGTTGACATAAAATTAAATATTGGTGAAAACACCTGATGCCTTCATACTATGCAAAGAATATGCTATTGGTTAAATTTTGATTTAAAGCAAAATGCAGAAATCATAAAGGACAGGGGAACATACAGAATTTCGTAAATCCATTTAATGGTAAAAGGAGTTATCTCCCTTTATGGAAAATATCAATAATCATTGATAACAGTATTTTGTTTAAAGAATTTATTTGATAAACTGAATAGGATTTAACTACAGACTAGGGCGTATATAAGTTTAATTATTTTTTTCAGATAGGATTTGAGGCTAAAGGTCTAACAAATATTTAACCTGAAACATAGCATCTACAGATATTTAGTTTTCTCACTAAATAGATATGGCCAAAACTAAATAATACTGTAAAGGGAGTGACAATATTGTAATGAAGAGAAAAAAATCAAATGGAGTTTAATGTCTTACTGTTCTGCACCAACCCATATAATGAAGATGAGCATACGTCATACATGATAGTTGGGGAGGGGGCATTGTACGTGTACAGCTAGTATGTACATGTCATCATCAGTGTGCAAGGGAGCCGCGGTGACTCAGTAAAGGGCTGGCTCACTTATCGGGCGGCCCAGGGTTTGATCCTAGTCTGGCGTGGTTCCCCTTGTCCGTGGCTCACTAATCAGGAGATCCGGGGTTTGATCCCCGTGTTGACCTAAATAGTTCCCCAAACTTTCCAGCTTTGTTTCACCTTGTCAGTTGTGCAGGAAGTAGGGTGGGGGCTGTGATGGGCAGCGTCTAGTTATTTGGATGGAATATATAACTGAGGTCCCGTGCACACGTTGGCGTGCACGTAAAAAAACCCTTTAAATTCAAAATAAAGTGTAGACCGTAACGTTGCTGTTTGGACAAAATTCCCCCTACAGCATAATGTATGGCGGGCGTATATACATCTTCAGTATCCCGGTTGATACTGAACAGTTAGGCATTAAACTCTATTTGATTTTTTTTCTCTCTTCTTTACAATTGCCACTCCCATGCAGTATTATTTAGGATTTGCCATATATCTATTTTAGTGAGAAAATTACATATAGATGCTTTGTTTCAATTCAAATATTTAGCCCCAAATCTTATCTGAACTAAAAGTTTACAGATATATTAGTAGAAATACCGTTTTGGGAGAACTTATATGCCCCCCCCCCCCATCCCCCACTTTCCAGATTCCTTGAACCGTCCATTTTTTCGGGCAATGTATTTCAGTTTTTCGGGCACAGGCATCAGAGAATGGGGAATGCGACCATAATTGTATAATTGTGTATAATTAAAAATAAACAACCATCACAGCTTTGTGGAAAATTCATTTTAGTTAATGATTGATTACTCAGAAAATTACCCTTTCTCCAGGTTGTTGCACGCAAGTAACTATTCCATTAAAAACAAAAAGGCTTGAATTTAACATAGAAGTTAGTAGAAGTAAGACTTCTAGAACGTAGACTTTCAGAAGAAGAAAACCCTGCTATGCTCTATACTGTTCCCAGGGTTAAGAGACCCGCGGTTGCGAGGGTCGCGATGGATAACTGAACAGTCGATCTTTATTTCAAGTCCATCTCATGTGTATAGTATCTATGACATATTAGGTAATTAGAAAAACGACGGGATAGAGTTTTATGTATACTCTTTCCTTGTGCCCCTTATCCATCAAATAATTCACTGCTATGGCCAGTTGAAACAACCGGTTGCCATGCAAGATATTCCCACATTTTGTAAGAAATTGAAGGGGAAGAGGTTAAATCAAAAGGGCTATCCTATCATTCAAGATCATTGGATCCTTAACATATTTAAGGTTCATCAGAATGGGACAACAATGGTAGCCCCCCCCCCCCCCCTCCACATGGAGTGCCTACAAAATCGGTACATATTTCAGATTTTGCGTGAAAAGCAGGGGCTATAGCTCTAGAATATAAGGTCTGATGCTACCAACGTCGAACTGATCCAAGAACTTTTGATCCTTAACACACAGTTGAAGTTCATAGTGAAAGGTACACAAACTTCATTTATATTTAACATTTTGCAGATGCGCAAGCAAATGGAACCCACCCATGAACTAGTGATACTCTTTTTTATGTTTCATCTAAATCGGATAAAATTGTGACCTCTAGATGGTCCACAGCCTGGGTCCAATAGAAAGGGCGGCTTGGGCGCAAGGGAACTGCCAGTCTTGCCTACCCCCCCCCCCCCCCCACACGCTAGCTACGAGCCTAGACAGAGCATAAGGCTGCAGGAGTGACAGTCCATACGAAATCACCCACCCCCTTCCTTGATGAGCCATTCCTCCCCAGTTGCCCTTGCCTCTAAATTCCTCCCTAAAACTTTGCAATCCCCCTTAGGGAAACATTGATCTAGTACAAATGTTTGAACAGAAACGATATTGCAACTGCAAAAATTTAACTTTCATTTATTTCTTGTTATTCCCACAAAGTACAACATATGAGATTCGCTATTTTTTATTACCAAGACAGCAGTACTATTGCATATTATATTATAGTAGTTGATATTGGCAATGTCATTATGACTTTATTAATTTCAATTAATTTTGAAACCCGCCAATTTGACTCATCGTGTATCCGTGCAGTTCATGCAGTTCAACAGAGGTCAAAGTTTAATGTATATTAGAGAATAAGATATATGATATTAAACAGTTAATAAAGTCAATATACATCCTGAATTATCATCTATCAAGATGGCGAAAATTGGATTTATATTTATTATCTCTCTTGTAATGGGCACAGTCTGCGGTAAGATTAAAAAAAAAATTCCTATTTAACAGCCATCTTTACAACTTATGTTATTGAGGTCGCATATAATTTTGAATGATCGTAATAAAATTCGGTACGTATCCTATTCTCAGATATATGAAAATATGACTTTTCCCTTTAGGACTCTTATTTAATCCCATGTATTCAATTGATACCCTATGCATTGATACCCCATGTATTCAATTGATACCCTATGTGTTCATCAAAAAACACATGTGGTATATATGATAATAACTAGAGAAAGTTACCCTATTTAACCATTTCTATTCATTTGTTAATTAAAGTGCGCAGAAGCCACCATATATAATGGTATAAATCTACCAGGGGAATATTACTGTTAGGATTCTTATTTAAACCATTCTATTCAATTGATAATTAAAGTGCACAGAAACCACATGTGGTATAAATAACAATAACCAGGAGAATATCGGGAAGAAAATTACCGTTATGATTCTTCTTTAACCCTTTTCTATTCATTAAAACTTTCATAATAAAAGTGCACAGAAGCGACATTTGGTGTGGTATAAAAGATAATAATCAGGGGAATATTTAGTGTGGTATATAGCCGGGGATTTTTTTATCGATAATTAACCCTTCCTTTTCAATTAATAATTAAAGTACGCCGAAACCACTTCTAGTATGTTGCAATTCCCCTGACTGTTAGCTATAAATCCTGCCTTTGCTATATATTATATCCTGTATGGTGGCCCATGGTTATCATAATAAATGTGTAAAAAATCCACCACAAATATTAAAAACTGTAAAAATAAATTTGAATGGAAATAAAAATTCGGTAAAAAATAACAAAAAAGAAATCGAAAATAAAAACTAAATTAAATTAAATGAAATAAAAAAATAATTTAAATTAAACATGCATCATGCAAGAGCAAAATCTGCTTATTACAAGTCTTTCTTTAGGCCTGAAATGTTATCTAAATTATCAATTAGACATTAATTAACTTATCCAGACCATAATAAACTCTCGATGTCAAGGCTAGCCTTCGATGTAGGCTGGATTAGATTCCTATATGCCGCTAACGGCCAAAGATAATTAAATCAGAAAAAGTGGATAATCGAGACTATGCTGTTTGTATTAATGATTTTAGTAATGATGACCGAGACTATGCAAAAATTTCACCCGCTTCTTTCTCGCCTCATAGTGGATCAATTTGACTGAAATTTTCAGCAAATTACCTTTACACTATCTAGTTTTTAACTATTATAGCGAGAACTGCCATCTCTTTATCTTATCTCCCATAATGTATCTTTAAATTAGATTTAACTTAAAATCATTTTTGATAAAAACAAAGTAAAATACATGTAAATCAAAAACTGAAATGAAAAAAAAAATTAAATTAAAAATATTTTTTTAAAAAAAGTAAGTTTGAAAACTTGAATGAAAATTTTTTTTTTTTTTTTTCTTTTAAATCGAAAAGTGAAATGAAAACTAAAATACACATACATGTCTCTACGTGGCCCATCGTTATCATCAGCCCATCGTTATCATTCAATCGGAACTGTAATCGAACGCGCCGAAACCAGAGTTATTTCTCTATGATAACTATGGGCCACCATAATCCTGTCGGTGAAAGCAGTAACTTATTTTTAATCCGGAATACGGTACTTACCCCTCCTCCCTCCAAAACCCCATAAAAATAAACAAACACCCCCAACACATGCAGTTCCAGTTTTCACTGACGGTCCACCACATTCTTTTTAAAATGTCTTGCGATACCCCCCCCCCCTTTATTATTTCTAGCAATGTAACCCCTTGTATATTTATATATTTAATTGGATAAGAAAGAATTCTGGTCATGTTAGAGAACGTTTGTAGTCTGTTAGAAATATATTTTGAATGTCTTGACCTTGACAGCAGGTACTTTTATGCAGACTGTAAAGGTCCGTTCATACTACATCCGTATACGCATCTGTATCTGTAAATACGTGCGTGAATACGTACTGGTATACTTTAGTTACTTTAGAGAAAGGGTTCAAATAGAATCCGGCACGTATTGTGCACAAAAACAACTGCGTCCGTTAAGCCGGATTGATTGCTCCCAGAGCGTATTTTTGTAAAGTGCGTCCGGCATTTCGGCTAGTGAGCCGAGCTTTAGCCAATCAGCGAGTACTTTCCCCTTATTACATCATCTCTCCAAATAGAAATTCAATCCATTCCAAGAAAAGCCTGGCCTTGTGTGCTGTGGATTTGTGTTGTCTTGTGAAGAACATAACATGGACAAGACAGAGGAAATATTGTCTGAATTTGTCCGGACGAAAATACAATTCTTGCACCAGGTTGTGGTTTTCTCCATATTTCTTTCTTCTTTGTAACAGTTCATGGACCCCTACTCTTTTTTTTTCTTTCGTCTTTGGGTCCACAAATACAAAAGAAAGACTTCCTCTGTGTCACTGTCAGACTCAATGATTGCAAATGACAATATGTTATCTCTGACAGACAATTCAGTCCTGAAAGCCGGACGTTTTCGCGTTTTCTATTTGAACGGCAAAACGCGGATACGGATGCGATACGTTTATGGATGCGGATGTAGTATGAACCGAGCTTTACACGTGATCCACAAGAGGGTTGTTTCAATATGTATTAGTTTTTTTTGTTGAAATAGACCCAACAATTCTAATGTTATTTCCGTGGTGAGAATCAGACAGTTAAATAAAGTGTTTAAACTAAGTAGGTGTATGTGGATCCAAGGCACATAAAACAGACGTCAAATTCAAATTACAACACGATAAGCGCTTTAGTATCCCTTTCTATGATTAATCGTCCTAAGGCATTGACTATAAATATCCATGGTGGGGCGGGTGGCGAATGGCACAATGCGTGCTCTTTAGATCACAAGGTCTGTCATTTAGTCAAAGGGCAAGGGTTTGACCTCACAGAAGATCGCCTGTCTAACCTCATGGGTTTTCTTCGGGCTTCAAATATTATATTAACTATTATTTAACATGCAATAACATGACAAACAACACAATTTAACCAATCATAGCTTTTCAACATTATATTCATTTTTCATTACATATTTTTGAGAGAGAGAGAGAGAGACAGACAGACAGAGAGAGAGACACACAAACTATGTCATTTCGGGACTAATACATGGTTCAATTTTATTTCAATAATTCGCTTGCGCGTAGGGGTCTTTAGCAGTGGGAGGAATCCGCAGGACCCGGAGAAAACCCACGAGGTCGGACTCCTTGTCACGTACAACCGGGGACATATTTTTGAACTATTAATTCTAACATAATGCATCTTAATAACAATGTGAGAAAGATAAGCCCATCAAAACTCAATAGATATTTATTTTGCACTGATGGCTGCCTTGCAAATTCCTTTAAAATGAACTGATGGGTTTGAGTAAATTCAATAGATATTTATTTTGCACTGATGGCTGCCTTGCAAATTCCTTTAAAATGAACTGTTGGGTTTGAGACAAAAATAAGTTTTGATTAAATTGAATTTTTTATTTTTATTTGTTGTCTTGGCAAAAATAAATTTTGATTTGATTTAATTAAATTTAATGCCTTAAAGGAGCTAAATCGCTAATATTTTGGACCTAGAAATTGGCACAGATGGGTCGCAACACGTATAATAATGTAATATGAATTTATATAAACTGTTTTACATTCAATCGTGTCCGTTTTACTGTTAATGGTCATCAGTTATGTTCTGCGAAATACGCCAGAAGTCTCAACCGCAAGTCAGTTTCTAGCGTCTGGTTATTCCAGTCAACACCGATATTATTTATTGCGCATGCTCTCCAAATAAGAACATGATATCACCGTTTGACATGACTTGTGGAATATGTCTAGCCTCATTTTTTTTAGCACCTTGTTACAAATGGCGCTGAAACGCATTATGGTACACGATTCGTGTACCAATGGTAAAATGTTTATTTTGTCTTAAATATTGGATATCAGAAGCCCATCTTTTCCAGGTAAGATCACAACACCAATGCTGATTTAAATTGCAAAATAATTCGTGTTTTCAATGTCGAAGATTTTGGATGATATTGAGTTACGGACTTAGCTACTTTAAATTGTTTTGTGATGTGTGTACAGTGTCTGATTTAGGGGGTCTCGGTCACCAGCGTCTATTGCATCACCCTCAGCTTTACACAATTGTATTTTAAACACACTTCATATCCCTCTAGTCGTAAGGATGGGGTGTGTGTGTTGGGGGGGGGGGGGCGTGAGGGGGGTGTAAGTGGAATAAAAAACCAACACTGTGTGTATATTTGTCTACAGTTAACCTTTTATATCCACAGATAGAAGAGCAAATATTGAAATATAATTAATAGTTAGGTTATTTCCACACCCTTTACTTAATTATCATCTCATTAAAATAACGCCAAAAGTATAATTATAGTTCTAATTGCCTAATCAGTTCTAAATAAATCAAACAAGTTTAAAAATTATTAAAAGGCATCAATACTGTGTCTGTCGTTGATATCTTAGGGATTGCATTATTCACACGTTATCAGCACTCGTCCAGTTGGTACCTTCCAAAGGTACGGTATAATGGTCTTTACGTTCAAATCTCTAAATTTTCATCTACAGAATAATCTTCGCTTAAAGTATCTCGAAAAATGGAATGAAATGAAATGGGGTTTAACGTCCCACTGTTCTGCTGCGACTGGGCTAATGAAGACAGCCATACGCCATACAGTGTGCTATGAGGGACAGCGGCGCTACGTGCACGCCAATGTGTAACCGGGACCTCGGTTTTCGTGCCATCCGAAAAACTAGACAGGTGTTTTTGTCAGGCCCTTCGTCCTACACCACTGACAAGGGGAAGCCACGACGGAAAATCCGATGAACTTTCTCAACCAACACCGGGTGCGAACCTGCGACCTCCAGGCTAGCAAGTCAGTCTTACCCACCGGGCTCCAGAAGTATCTCGAACGGTTTGGATATGTTTTTCAGCCGACTGTTACCATTTATTAGGATCGACATCTTTAGGGACACAAGAAACCCACAGATCTTTCTAAATGAAAATTAGATCGAATAGTTGTTCCATCAATAATTAGAGTAACGCACCAGATTATCCCAATTTAAAGTAACCATGCGTGGTTTGCATTTTTTCGAAATTAAAAAAAAAATGTCCCGGTTTGGATTCAATCGGATTTAAAAACTGACCCACCAATAGATTGACGGCAACTAAAGATAGCGACGCTCTTGTTACATAGGGAGCAGCATGAACTGATAGATTTTTTTCGACTGATATTCCAATTGCTATTAGAGATTAAGCTGTCACAATATTCAGGTTTTGGGTTCTATGGCGCTAAAATCACGCATAATATAATATTCATTAAAACCATCGTCCTGTTTTTATTCCCATCACTAATGTACGCAATTCTTTTTCAGGTTACAGAAGTAATCAGAATTTTTCTCAACCAGAAGTGATAACAACTCCAAATTTCCCATTGCCCTATCCGTCTGACGCGAGTTTAAGTTGGGCGTGGTCTAAGCCGACAGGAAGATGGGCGGTTTTGTTTGAAGAATTTGACATACATTGTATGGATACATTATACCTGAAAGACGACTCAGCGTAAGTTTATATTTTAAAACTGCTTGTTATTTGTGTCATGGATTAGTCGGGGTATGCTTACTCTTTATAATGTTAATAATAAAAGATGAGCTGTAACCAAAGACAAAGAGTGGACTTTCCTAAAGGAAATCGTCAAAATACTAACACCCAATTGTAATGACCTAGTAATATCTTTTGGATTTTCTAGCGAGGTTACCTCGTGTTAGAGGTGCATGACGGAGTGTCTGCAATCAGGGGCGGAATAAGGGATCGACTGCTGTAGGCGGCACGTTCCGAACGGCCAAGTCACGGGGGTTCGAAGGACTTCTCAGAGAAAATTTTGAAATTTACATTGCCGGAGTGCGGATTTAGATACATACTGGAACCGATGAATTCGTTCCCCATATCTAGCCAAAAACAAATGAAATTGGGTTTAACATTCTGTTCTACAAAAACTGGATATACGGACGGGCAATGTGCCAAGACGGAACATCGTTTCTGCCTACTCGTCTTTGAGATCCTGATGTTCAGCTTGGAAGTTCCTCGGAATTTTCCGGTTAGGTTTCCAGTTGTCAGTGGCGCGTATAGTCGTATGGATGGGACGTAAAACCGAGGCGTGCACGTGGAATTTGCCGTATCACACTTCATTAACAAAGTTGGTTTAGAAAAGTAAGACATTAACCCCATGGACATCTTGATAGTACTATAAGCATCTGACATTTCCGTGTGGCAAAGCATCTTAAACAGAATATGGGAAGCTTATTCAAACCGTACATTAAATTTTCACGGCTTTCCTGAACTCATTACTGATATGGATTTATAAGCATTTTTGGATTTAACGTCCTACTTTTCTACTTCGACTGGACTAATGAAGATCGGCATACGCCATACAGTGTGCTACGAGGTCAACTTTGCACGGACAGTGGCACTACGGCATCTCTTGTATGAAATTTCAACTGTCAACGGTTCTTAGAGTTATACGTCAATGTGTACACGGGACCTTCTCTTATATCTATTCCAGCCGCCAAGGGATATTTTAAGTCCATTTGTACACGGAAGACTGTACGTTGTCCCTTATTGCCAGGCCCTCTGGCGGTGGTTCAGTGGGTAAGGCGCTGACTCGCTAACAGGTCCGGGGTTAATTCCCGGTGTTGACCGAGAAAGTTCTCCATGATTTTCCAGTACAGTTTCCTCTTGTGCATGGCGGAGGACACAGGACGTCTAGTCGTTCGGATGATATAAAAAAAGGGTTCCGTGTAACGGTTGGAATTCGATATAAGAATAGGCCGTAGCCCTCATAGCCCACTCACTACACTATATATATTTCGTATATGGCCGTCGTCATTAGCCCAGTCGGTGCATATAAGTAGGACGTTAATCACAATTTCATTTCGTTTCTAGTACTTATTACAGGAACCATATAAGATACGGATATAACAAGTAGTAGATATAATCTTATTTACTCACTTGATATCCAAATAAGCCTAATCTCATATATTTCATAAGTAAAGTCCGTCCTTGTTAACGGGAAAGCGGAATCGTTAGGATTCCAAGCAGTTTCCGTGAACTTAATTCAAACGGTTCTGTTCATGGGCTTTGGTAAACCGTCCTGCAACACTGACAAGGGGTAGCCACGCCGGTACAAAATCTCGATGATCTTTTTCGGTCAACAACGGGAGCCACTGTCTTACTAACCGAACCACCGCAGCTCCTCAGCGAAACGCAAGTGATGCGCTATTTCCACAAGAGCGTGGAATAAAAAATAAGAATAGGCCGTTCGCTGCTGCCCGAGCAAAATTTCCCCGTAGCACACTGCATGATCCATGCTCGTCTTCATTGTCCCAGTTAGTAGAAAAGAGTAGACGTTAAACCAAATTTCATTTCTTTGACTAGACTACGGTTTTATATTTTGTTTCTCCTTAATCATTTCGCAAAGTACCATGTTTTAAAAATATAACTAAGTTTTTAAAAGGAGGAACTCGTATCAATTTTGAAAACTTCTGGATGACAGTTATGCTGTTTAACATTAAATCGTGCTAGCTTTCTATGAGATCTATAGATTATTGAAAGGAAGAATAGCTTTAAATTCCACAACAAACATCTAATTTATTTTGTTTGTGCAGCTATGTCTTTGTGGCAATTTTTGGATCAGGAACGTTACTCGTCTTGTTGTTCTTGTTCTTCTTTTTTTGCGAGGCGACACTCTTTCAAAAAAAAAACCCAAAAAAACAAGGCTCAGCCAATTCACGTACGTTATACGATAGACATGGAACTTGGCATGCTTGCTCCTTGGAAAATTACGCTTTGATTTTTTATATAATGTCAGAATACCAAGACGAATGCGATTTGTCATAATTTGTTTCTGGTACACAGTGCGTTCATATTTGTTTTATTGTTAGCCACAAAATTGTTGGCTTGGTAGCTTAGGCCTATGCTATAAAATACCAACTAATTCGCTAATAAGTATACCTCTTAAGATCTTAAAGGGACTATCCCGATTTGAACAGAGTCTCAAAAATACGTAGGATATTTAAGCGCCAAAATATAGAGGAATGGTGTATTTACCTTGTCTCAAAGTTTCAGCTGAAAATATTAAGTCGTTTGGGCGTGAACGTTAAAACTGCTTATCCGGACACGAAACCCTTTTAAGATTTCGGGTCAATTTTTTTGTTGGGTGACCTGATAAACGATTTCCGTTCCATTAGGGGTCTATACAATGAATGACCCATGTGCTGTACTTGATAACAAAAGGTAAATTTCACCTACACATTATTTTTATAAAATTAAAGCCTGGTTTTATCTAGACACCGTATAATACAACTTGGGACACCAGTCTCCATTTCCAGATGAAGACTGGCAGGTTTAAGTTGTTTGAAAATATATTACATATATTGAGTTAGTTGCTGGGCCCTAATGTAGAGGATTTTAAGGGATTTTAACACAAAATTAAGCAGTTTTATTCTCCAAAATATTATCGGGATTGGCCTTTTAATATTCATTTAGTGGTATTTAGTAACTGGGTAGAATAATAAACTAAAACACATACTTATGGAAAACAGTTACTTATTTATTTGGGCGACGTTTCAATCTTTATAGTGGGGCGGTTAAGGAAGAATTTTTGGTAGAATCGTGCATTTTGGGTTAAAAGCATGAAACTTGGCATATAGATGGCACCAACCCTACTGATTATTTTGGGATGTGGATTCACCTCAGCAGCTCCCCCTGGTGGTCGTTACGGCCATCTTTTCCAAAATGGCTGCCTATTCATTGATATACATATAACAAGGGGTGTCACAATAAGACATTTTTTTACAAATCATTTCAGGCCAGCAATTTCCAGATGTAAAATTGCTAGCTGAACACGATTTTTGAAAAAAGATTTATCTATGACGTCATTTTCGTTTGGGGTTTGCCTCATTTCAAAAATTGCCGCCAAAATTTGAAGAAAAATGAATTTCCAGATAGGATGGGTGATTATCACGCAATGCATGCCTTGTAATATATCAAATATATGGTTTTTGTTGTAATTGAACTAAAAAATAATCTCTAAAACTAGTTTCCCCAAATCCAAGATGGCGGAAATTCAAAATGGCGGCCAAAATATACCCAAAATGGCGGATTGATCAGATTAAAGTCATTTCACTGTTTGATTTGGTTTGTAATATATAATTTAAAGGGTTTACATTGTCACTGAACTTAAAATTAATCTAAATAAAAAAATAGTTTCCAAAATCCAAGATGGCGGTAATTCAAAATGGCAACCAACATTTATCTAAAATGGCCGATTTGTCAGATAAAAGTCATTTCACTCTTTGATATGGTTTGTAATATATAATATAAAGAGTTTTCAAAGTCATTGAAATTAAAATCAATCTAAAAAAAGAGTTTCCAAAATCTAAGATGGCGGAAATTCAAAATGGCGGCCAGAATTTTCCAATAATGATCAAATTTTAGGATAATCGTCAATTTTCTGTTTGATATGGCTTGTAATATCTCCTCTATTAAGTTTTCATAGTCACTGAATTCGATAATTGTAGATGATTGTTTCAGAAAAAAGAGACAATCGTCAATCTTTCTATTGGATTGGTTTATAATAGCAAAGTGTAATAGTTTTTTGAGGGCAACTGAAATTGACCGGACTCAGGAATCTACCTGTCAGTCAATTAACCTTGTGCAGAACTTACCAGTCAGCTAATTAGAATTTCAAAGAATTTAACCTTAAGACACAATAAATGTAGTTTAATTGTTTTATGCATTAAATCATATGATGTTAATGATAATGTTAAGAATTGACACATTCTTTGGAGAAAATATCTGGTTATTCCGACCCTCCACCCCCACCCCATAACAATACAACGGGGCCAACTGAGGCATTTTTAATTTCATCTCCTTTGTCTTTGCACCATTTTACCAGGGTGAGAATCATTTATGGTATATGCAGTTGTTAAGAATTTAAGTTCCCTTATTCATTCAGAAATGGTAATGTGATCCGTTTTTGCATCGAAGACTCTGTGTCCAGTAACTTTTGTGGTAGAGTCTAGATGTGGTATCCACAGGTAATTTTCGTCAGTGACGTATTTCACAACAAGTTCTACATGTAAGAACAACACATTAGAAAAGAGGAAATCGTGGGGGTGACCTTTTTGGGGATACCTATACTAGTCGTAAATGCATTTCAAATTATTTTTGTGATGATTATTTTTTAACTTAGAACTTGGTGTGCGATACATTACAGACAAAAGTTACTGGACACAGAGTCTTCCGATGCAAAAACGGATCACATTACCATTTCTAAACGAAGAGGAGAACTTAAATTCTTTACAACTGCAAATACCATAAATGATTCTCACTCCGGTAAAATGGTGCAAAGACAAAGGAGATGAAATTAAAATGCCTCATTGGCCCCGTTGTATTGTTATGGGGTGGGGGTGGAGGGTCGGAATAACCAGATATTTTATCCAAAGAATGTGTCAATTCTTAACATTATCATTAGCATCATTTGTTTTAATGCATAAAACAATTAAACTACATTTATTGTGTCTTAAGGTTAAATTCTTTGAAATTCTAATTAGCTGACTGGTAATTTCTGCACATGGTTAATTGACTGACGGGTAGATTCCTGAGTCCAGTCAATTTCAGTTGCCCTCGAAAAACTATTACACTTTGCTATTATAAACCAATCCAATAGAAAGATTGATGATTGCCCCTTTTTTTCTGAAACAATCATCTAGAGTTATCAAATTCACCGACTCTGAAAACTTAATAGAGGGCATATTACAAGGCATATCAAACAGAAAATTCACGATTATCCTAAAATTTGATCATTATTGGCAAATTCTGGCCGCCATTTTGAATTTCCGCCATCTTAGATTTTGGAAACTCTTTTTTATTTTAGTTTGATTTTAAGTTCGATGACTTTGAAAACTCTTTATATTACATATTACAAACCATATCAAAGAGTGAAATGACTTTTATCTGACAAATCGGCCATTTTAGATAAATGTTGGTTGCCATTTTGAACTTCAGCCATCTTGGATTTTGGAAACTATTTTTTTATTTAGATTAATTTTAAGTTCAGTGACAATGTAAACCCTTTAAATTATATATTACAAACCAAATTAAACAGTGAAATGGCTTTAATCTGATCAGTCCGCCATTTTGGGTATATTTTGGCCGCCATTTTGAATTTCCGCCATCTTGGATTTGGGGAAACTAGTTTTAGAAATTATTTTTCAGTTCAATAACAACAAAAACCTTATATTAGATATATTACAAGGCATACATTGCGTGATAATCACCCATCCTATCTGGAAATTCATTTTTCTTCAAATTCTGGCGGCCATTTTTGAAATCAGGCAAACCCCAAACGAAAATGACGTCATAGATAAATCTTTTTTCAAAAATCGTGTTCAGCTAGCAATTTTGCGTCTGGAAATTGCTGGCTTGAAGTGATTTGTAAAAAAATGTCTTATTGTGACACCCCTTGTTATATGTATATCAATGAATAGGCGGCCATTTTGGAAAAGATGGCCGTAACGACCACCAGGGGAGCTGCTGAGGTGGATCCACATCCCAAAATAATCAGTAGGGTTGATGCCATCTATGTGCCAAGTTTCATGCTTTTAACCCAAAGTTTTCGATTTTTTGCTTAACCGCCCCACTATTAGACAAACTATAATTTGTTTGAAATGTTTATTTTCTACAGCTTCGTTTTATTTGCACTTTCAGTGGTAAACAACTACCTTTTGACTGTAATCAAAAGCAAACAAAGACAACAGCTTATTATACTAAAGGACCGAGTCTTATAATACGATTTACTTCATCTCATGAGTCTAAAGCCCAGAAAGGATTCAAAATAAGGGTCTTGTATGGCAGAGATAAAGGTGAGGACATTTTACAAAAATATTCAATGATATATATCCACCCACTCATCCATTCGTGAATTTGGCCTGATAACATTTCTCGTATTCCAGGCATGATATAGCCCGGTTCAACATAGATTGGTCTCTCATTTCGAATATCATCCGACTGGAGACATCGATTACTGCCTGAATTTATCATTTTTTTCCCATTTAATATTAGCTATATCGCTACGCATCAGAAGTACTAGAGAACACCTAGCTGCTGACGAGTACAATACCATAAAACAACGCCTCGTGCATTTACACCTGCATACAAACCGTGATATGTATTTTGTAATATACTTAAAGGAGCAAAACCGTTTTGATTTAATTTAATTTAAGTCAAAATAAAGTACCAAATTAAATTAAATTGGATTAATGTCACTATTCTGCGTAAACCGTTTTGATTTAAGTCAAAATAAAGTATTAAATTAAATTAAAGGACAATATTGGTGCCAGTCATTATCATATGTGATAGAACTGGTTAAACACGTTCCAAATATTATTTTATCACAGAGATCATTGCTACGATAGATGTGGAATCAATGTTTCAACACCCGGAAGTGACGAACGCAAAAGGAAAACACGAGTAATCCAACTATATAACTGATTGAAGTGACGGGTGATAACAGGTACATGGGCGAATTTCTGCCCACTAATAATTCCTTCGAAGACCAAAAGTTGTTGTGTGAGACTGTGAAAGGATATCTGACAATTCATAAAAAAATTGACTGTTACTAGATAAGAGAACATGAAAGAAAAATAGAAAAAGTCCGTGCATTACCATGTTTTTATAGGGATAGAATGAATAAACACGCGTGAATGTACAGTCTGTTTCTACTTTATTCGTGTTCTCTTATCTAATGACATTCAATTACTTTTTTGAATTGTCAGATATACTCTTACAGTCTCATGTAACAACGGCGTGGATCGGTAGGACAAGGGAAACAGAGGCATCATTCGTTTGTGGAGGTTACCGTCCACTTTCACCTACGATATCGTCGACGAAAACTTGCACGAAGAGCCAAATGGTTAGCGCGTGCGGGTTGTATCATAAGGTCTGTCATAAGGTCAACTGGCGTGGTTTCGATTCCCCGGTTGTACTTGACAAGGAGTAAGGTCGCCAGTCAAACCTCGTGGATTTTCTCCGCGTCGTCCGGTTTAATCAGACTGCTAAAATCCCTACGCGCAAGCGAATTATTGAAATAAAACACTGAACCGAAATGAACTAGTTTCTATCGAATGGACGTTAAATCCCATCTCTCTCTCTCTCTCTCTCTCTCTATCTCTCGTCATTAAAGCTTCTCGTGAAACACAAATCAACATGTAAAATTCAGTGGTATTGATTGTTTTGTAATTGTGGTTGTTTTGAACTTACGAACTTACAGATGTTTTATCTTTACAGATGATCTGAAAAGTCAAGTTTATGAACTTAAAAACGGAAATAAAGACGGCGGTAAGTTTCAATTGGTTGTTACATTTGGAAATGTCCCATAATCTCTGACGTTCATGCATTGGTTTTAATCAGACATAAAACCAGTGTGGCATCGGAATGTCTCATTTTCTCAGATGTAGGGATGCGTTGATAGTTTGCGTTATCACAACTAAGTCAGCAACTAGGTTACCTTGATTTAAACTCAAGCGGGTGAGTGGTCTCGTGCGCTTTAGCCACTTTAGGTTTGCCATTGGGTCAAGTGGCGTGGTTACGTTACCCATGTTTGTACGCGACAAGGAGCGAGATTGCCTGCCTAACCTCCTAGTTTTTTTTTTGCGAATCCTTCGCTTAGGTCCCATTGATAAAGACCCCTATGTGCAAGCAAAGTATTGAAATAAAATTGTAACACATAATCACCTGGTTATTGTCGTGGTATGAGAAATAGTTTAGGGTGGGCATACAAATTTTGGTTCAATACATTGCTTGAAATGAGAAGGGAAACAACTCTATAATAAATGTTTTCTTTCAGACGGTGATCACGTTTACACCCTCCTTTACGTGGTGTTGGCTCTGGTTGCCTTCGTTGGCATAGTAGTAGAAGTAATTATCATCAAGCGACAAAGGAGACGAGGTAATCAAACGGTGACCGTGTCGACGTCGGATTCAATAGAAACAACTACCACTACAACAGAAGTCGAGATTGGTCGCAGTAATGTGCAACGAACATCCAGTCAAATGTCATGGACAACGAGAGCAACACTGACCAATACACAAAATGGTGTTGTTGATAATGTGCACAAACCGATGGAAAACATGGCGCATTATCAGAATCAGATTAACCGACCTTTATCATCTGTACGAACTTCTTAGTAAACCGGTACCTAACCCTGTCCGTCACCCCACTACAATATCTGGCTACGAATCCCCTGTTCTTTAAAACCGTAATCCACATACAACAACTGCACCGCTTTTAAAGATGCATAGTCTATGTAATTTTCCAAACCTATGTCTGGGTTCTTGACAATATTGCCTAACTCTTGTACCGCTGAACGAAGTTGTAATTTAACATGCACACAAAATTGACGTAAATCCTAGTTATTGTCTAGGGCGAACTGTTAGTTACTGGAATCTGCTACCAATATACCGATATAGGGAAAGTCTTAGGCTATAGTTGTACACAAGATAGAACAATGGATACTACTTCGCTTTTGGAACGTCCGTCGACTTTACGAGTTTCCGTGGATTACATTGAATTGTCATATTTTTATATTTTTGAACATATGATTGCCCATTCAAGTAGCAATACTGTTATATATATATCAATATTTGTGACTGTCGTTTGTTTGTTTGTCTGTCTGTCTGTCTGTTCGGGATTGGCGCTTATACTAGGGCTGTCCCGCGGCTGAAATTTGGTGCATAGGGGTAGAGTAGCTCGGACCGGGGAGTAATTAAACAGGTCTATTGGCGATAGACTACCACCTCCGGTTTCAGAGTTATGATCCCCGAGCCAAGCCGAGCATTCTTCTAGTTAATTTATAAATACGAACCACGCCAAATCGGTACACGGAGTTAAAACACGTATGTTTGAAAACTCTCTTTTTTAAATTCGTTTGTTATAATATAACGTTTGTGCACAGCACGAAAAACTTTAGTGGACGTGTACAGTAAATTCATAAATATACGTTCTGATTTATTGTATTTATAATGATAAAAAAATATGCTCAGTCTGATGAGTTTGTTTATTTTATACGATAAGGTTGATTATGTTGCGATATCACCTCGGTGGAAGCGGACGTAAAATACAACTAACTCATCATCATTACGTTGGGGTTTTGTTTTTTTAATTCTGTTGATTTGTATACATGAGCACCGCATAAGTATTATTGTTTATGAAATATCTGTTTTTCAAATATATTTTCTAATAAAAAAAAACCCTCTTGAACGCGCTTGGGTGATTTATTACTTTTATAAGAGCTAAAATCAACAATATTCCAAATGGGCCTCAATGTTGTTAAGACAATGGATTCAGGGGTCAAAGGTAAAATGTCTCTGTCATAACTACAAATTAAACAATCTCTTTTTACTTACTTCCCACCATCACACTAATATTTCTTGAAATTGATACATATAATACGTTACCTCTGGGAAGTCTGGACTGATTTGAAATATTTAATACGAAATGAAATGGGGTTTAGCTTCCTACTGTTTCCCACCCAAGTCAATTTTAATATAATTTGTTTTTTTATAATTTTCACCCAAGTCAATTTTAATATAATTTGTTTTTTTTATAATTTTCACCCAAGTCAAGTTTAATATAATTTGATTTTTATAATTTTCACCCAATTCAATTTTAATTTCCACCCAAGTCAATTTTAATTTCCACCTAAGTCAATTTTAATATAATTTGTTTTTTTATAATTTCCATCCAAGTCAATTTTAATTTTCACCCAAGTCAATTTTAATTTTCACCCAAGCCATTTGTAATATAATTTCAATTCTGTTGAATTTCCACCCAGCACGTGACGTCATCTCAATTAGCCTCGTTTCCAATGTAATGTATTATGTTTTATCTTATATGGTTCTCATACTGTAATTAGCAGATTGCAATGTATTATGTTTTACCTTATATCAAATAGATATTTTTATACGCCCACATTTTCATATGGACGTATATTGTCGTCACCCCTGTCCGTCCGGACGTCCATCCATAATTTGTTTCTGGACACTATACAGGTCAGATTTTGACGAGACTTGAAATATAGGTTTATCTCCAAAAGATCTAGGTTCCTTTCGATATTGGCATGTATCGGATTGAAACTTCATGAATTATGGCCCCTGATTGTACGAAAAGTCACTTTTTTTAGCGTGTGGACACTCTAGAGGTCACAATTATCATCTGGTTTCTTTCGATATTCGCGCTTATCGGATCTTAACATTCTGAAGTACGACCCTTGATTGTACGAAAAATCTCTTTTTTAGCTTGTGGTCCCTCTAGAGGTCACAATTTGTATCCGATTTCAAAAAACGTTTGAATATATCACCGTTACGCCCTAATGATGATTGAGTTCGAATTTTCTGAAAAGCTGATCGAAACTGACGGACAAAATGTTCGCCCCTCGTACAGAGAGAGAGAGAGAAATGGGGTTTAACGTCCACTCGTTACAAACTAGGTCATTTCGGGACTAACATTTGATTTAATTTTATTTCAATAATTCTCTTGCGCGTAGGTGTCTTTAGCAGTGGGAGGAAACCGGAGGACCCGGGGAAACCCCACGAGGTTGGACGCAAACTTTGATGAAACTTAAAATATATATCTCAGTTCATGTCGATATTCGCGCATTTCAGACCATAACTTCGTGGATTATGGCCCCTGATTGTATGAAAAATAGCTTTTTTATTGCTTGTTCTCAATCCACCTCTTGCAAAATATGGGCATATCTTGCCTGGCAACCGCTGGTTCTCATACTGTAATTAGCAGATTGCAATGTATTATGTTTTACCTTATTATTAAAGAGATATTTTTCTCATTCTGTAATTACATGTATCAGATTGTAATAGATTATGATTTACCTTATACATATCAAATATTTATTTTTCTCATACTTTTATTATCAGTTCTTGTTTAAATTATATATGTCACCAGAAAAGCCATTATTAGTGTAATAAAGATTTTTGATATTATAACATGATGACTTTTTAGGTGAACACAAGCAGGCCTGTCAGCGTATCAGAGCCAGAAATGAGGCCTGTAATTACATTTGATTTATACTTTATGGACTGAAATTATCACAAGATCTCTAAATCAAAGGGAAGAAATCGTGACTTTCATTAAATGTTTAGAATTGAAAAGGGGGGAGGGGGCGAATAGTGAACGTGTGTGCATTGCATCATAATTCAAGTGGCGTGGTTTCGATTTCCCGCTCGTACGACGCCGTGGCAAGGAGTAGGGTTGTTCGTCCAGGGGCCTGTTTCACGAAATTTTAAGTAAGATAAAATCCAAATTTTAGTAATTTGATTGGATAATATTAGATTAATTTTAGTGCTGAGCCAATCAAAATTGAAGTATCTACTAAAATTTGGATTTTATCTTTAGTTAAGATTTCGAGAAACGGGGCCCTGGAGTACTTCCATTAGTAAAGACCACTACACATAAACTGACTATTGAAATGAATGAGTTATAGTCCTGAAATGACCTAATTTGTGTCGATTGGATGTTACGCACCAAAATATCGATTCAAGTATCTTGCGAGAACCTCCCTGGGGAGATTTGCTATATAAATAAGCCTATATTGGAAAGTGTAATAAACTTTTTTTTTTGAAAATATCCAAAAATTAAACTGAAAGGAAACACCAAATCCAGTTGAAGTGCCCCAAGTCCAAGAAAAGAGACCCTCTGTGTCCTGTAAGAAAAGAGGCCCTTTGACTTCATGGCAAAGCTATCTGTGTTTGTTTCCAGTAGTAAGGTCAAGATCCATGCGTGTGACCCATCATTCATTAGTGCACATAGGCCAAGTTGTTTTTTGTTATCTCTTTCTAACAAACCGCGCTAAATTCTATGTCTGGATGTTCGGTAGCGTTGTCTATGATGGGTGCTTATATCAATATCCAGGCCCCTAGTACATTGGCGAGCATGTAAAATAACTCTTGACAGTTGAACTTTCACGTCGTGCCGCTGACAGAGGAAAATTTCCCTTCTGGCATACTGTATTCAGTAACCCAGTCGGAGTAGGACGTTAAACCCCCATTTCATTTTATTTCAATACGTATCACTGTCAGATTCCGACTAAGATTGTGTCGACCCCGGCACGTTTATTTTCCCAATGGCGGGCGAAAATTAGTGTTTTGGAGACGAGGCTAATTGAGATGGTATCACGCGCTGGGTGAAAATTCAACAGAATTGAAATTATATTACAAAGACTTGGGTGAAAATTAAAATTGACTTGGGTGGAAATTATAAAAAACAAATTATATTAAAATTGACTTGGGTGAAAATTATAAAAAAAACAAATTATATTAAAATTGACTTGGGTGAAAATTACAAAAAAACAAATTATATTAAAATTGACTTGAGTGAAAATTAAAATTGACTTGGGTGAAAATTATAAAAAACAAATTAATTAAAATTGACTTGGGTGAATATTAAAAAAAAAATTATATTATTGTTCATGTCCCTTATCAGCCACCGTAAGATCGGCCTACAATTTATAAATTGATCATAGTTTTAAAGCACAAGCGAAGTTGCGATTTGTGTAATCTATATGGCGGGGGCGTAGTTTGTGTTGGATTGCCATTCACAGAGCAGGAGTGGGGTGGGGGAAGGGGGGGCTAAACAATTTTATTTGTAACTGGGAGAGGGATTTATATAAACTTTGTTTCTGTTCCCCAAACCCCTCGGTTTCTGAATAAATATTGTAATTTAACAAAAAATAAAAATAAATAAATTTAAGGCGATCATCAAATTTTTAGGGAAGTTGCCGAATGATGAAAAAAATAAATTGTAGTGGATATAAGGGGAAAATATGAAAATAATTCCTTCCCGTAAAATGAAGTTCCCGAAATCCGGGGCTTTTACTGGGGTGGGGTGATGCAATTCCAAACTGGGGTTCAGAGTTTCAGAAAATCACACAACTCTGATTTTGATTCTGGGTGTCTAGTTCTCAAATTTAAAATGCAGTTCC